AATTTTCCAAACTATTGTAAGTATATTCACCTCCAAAAAATTAGGTCAGATTCTTTAGTTTTTAATATCTAAAAAGAATTTGTAATAAATAAATATTAATAAATTAATAAGTGAAGTTATTATTTTAAAAAGTATTAGATTTGTGAAAGGTCCTTTCAGAAATTAAATTTTTCAAAATTATTCTCTCTCTCTCTCTTTAATTTCCAACTTTAAAATTAAAATACCTCTGAAATATGAGAGAATGACACAAGGAATGATATATAGTGGGTGCAGGGCTCAATTTATATCTTTTAATTTAATCTACTTTTTTTTCTCTATATCTTTTTTTAATTAGACACATTTTTTTAGAGAGTATAAAATGAGTTGTATTATTGACTTATGAATAATTTGGCATGCTATTAATTTTATACGATATATTGAAAACTCAAAAACATTTTAGATCATATGTTTAAACAACAACAAAGAAAAAGTAAAGAAAAAACTCTTCATAAACTTTTAAATCTTTTTTTACCAACATAAACTTTTAAATCTAAATTAATCATATGTTTCGGCTTTGTTTGTCTCAGCTTTTGTTTACAAAATGTGATGAGATGTGGTGTGGGGAGAAAGAGGTTGAGCTAAGGAGCAAAGGACTTTGTTTGGTTCCCATATCATCACTAACTCAGAACCTAATAACAATGGAAGATCAGATTCAACTTGATGCTGTTATCTCAAGGACATTTGATTATAAGCTTCCCATATCTTTCTAATTTTACCTATATATATATGTTTTGTTTCATCTAGAGATGGAATATATATATATATATATATAAATAGATATTCAATGATCACAACTGATTGTTTCATTTATTAGTTGTGGCATACGCCTTCTGTGGCGCTTCTCTATCTAATATTTAATATAAAGACACGAATTCTTCAATGAAATCCTGAATTATTTTGGTCATTTGCTTTAGGGTTAAAGAGCAAAAATGTTCTGAAATTTTTTTTCAAAAACGCCTGGTATCCTAAATTTTTTTTAAGTATTCTTGCTCCAAAAATTTAAAAAAAAAACCATTTTCATCCCATCGTTAAATATTAAAAATATTGATTGTTAAATTGAAATTTATCCAAAGATATTTTTGTGTTTTGCCCTTCTTCCTTCTATATTCAATCTCTAATTTCATTCTCTAGTGAATTTTTTAACTTTTCTTTCTTCAACAAATGAAAACAAAGACCAAAACATGCAAAAATAAAAGAAGGCAAAACAGTAAAATATCTTGGTCAACTTTACTTTAATGGTAAGCATTCCCAACATTTAATAGTGGGGCAAAAATAATCTTTTTTTGAAACTTTTAGAATAAAAATACTCCAAAAAAAAAAGTTTAAAATGCCAAGCATTTTTAGAAAAAAAAATTCAGAATATTTTTATGCTTTAACCTTTTATTTTATAAACATATATATGCAATTACGTATATGCATAGATAGATTTACATGCATCACGTACCCATGTGAAAAAATGAAAGCCATGCCTTTAATTGCAGAATCGAAATTATCAAATTTGCCGAACTTGCATGCGAGACAGAGTTAATTAGAAGAACGGGGTCCAAACTTTATTAGAATCACACTTTGCAACCCTGGATTTTTCAGTGTTGCATCAAGGCCCTAATAAATCCTTAAATGGGTTGTGCCTTATCCATCAAGAATATAAACCCAACATTTCTCACTCATACTTGGTGGATGTGTCTGGTTTCTTTCTCCTCATCTTCCCATTTATTTATTATATAAACATGCGCTTACATATATACATATAATTAAGTTGATAGATTTATACACAAACAAAACAAAAGAGATGGACATAGAAAGTGAATCATGATTATTCTATTCCAAACATTTATGTATGGTCCCTTTGGTATTGGATTAATTCCATACAAGGGGATCAGATATAATCCTGATGCATTCTATTATTCTAACTGTTTGGTTGGTTTAAGGTAAGGTAGGTATGTTTGATTCGAAGGACGGGGAGGGAATAAAAATAATTACATATGAATAATTTTATCCACATTTTATTAATGTTAAAATATTGAAGAAGTGTATTGTATCTTTTGAACTTAATTATCATGGATGGCATATTGGATAGCTTAAAGGATCAACATAATTAAAATTAAGTTCATATAAGTTGCTTTAGCTCAAAAAGAGGCTTAATTGAATGACACCACCACTTGGATCCGATTGGGTCCCAAAATTCATTCTTATTTTTTTATTATAATATTATATATTTATGATTTAAAGTACAAATTATAATATTATAAAATTTAAAATAAATAATACAAATTAGCTCATATTCCTGGTTCTACTTAGGTGCTAAAAAAATCATAAATAAGGACCTTCAAAGATCACAAAATTATGATATTAAATTTTAGGAGTTAGAACCATGGTATTTTTTGTGGTTTTAAAAAATAATGATTTGACTAAGATACACCTATATTTAAAATGTCAACTTAAAATTTGTTAGTGCTGAAATTACTTTAATTGGGTTGAAAATTTAGTTGAAGGGAATTATGAAATTACTTTATTTGAGTTGGAAAATGTTTTACTCACAAACTTACAAACTTAATTATCAGATTTGTAATTGACTGACTTAAAATTCATTAGTGTTGAAATTACTTCAATTGGAATTGGAAATTTAATTCTATGAATCACTTTATTTGAATTGGAAAATTCTTTACTCCTAGACTTGTAAACTTAGTTATCAAACAGGGAATTTTAGTCAAAGTATAATTTTTAAAATTGTAAAAAAAAAACTATGGTTCTAAAATTCAATTTCATAATTTTGTGGTAGTTATTTGCGATACTCGAAGGTCCTGCTTTGTGCTTTTCCCTAGGTGAAAGACTTTGGCAAAAAATTTGACTAAGTTATTGTTTCTTTCGTGCATTTTTATCCACAGTCTTATATTAAAAAAACACATCCTCCTCTCGAAGTTATTCGATTATATATTTCAATTCTAGGTTGTTAACAAATATATGCAAAGTTATATAGTGACATATGTAATATATTTATAAGAAAGAAAATATGATAAATTAAAAACTATCACTTGTTATTTTATAAATAAACTGGGAGGTGGTACTGAACATAATTTTTCAATTAAGATCATTTCTGAATCATCAGATCAAAATAGATCAAATTTCAACCCACTTTTGCTAACAATACTGTTTTCTCTATTTAAAAAAAAAACGGAAGAAGTATTCCGTTGTGAATTTTCTTAGAATTGGGAAGGACTGGTTCATTATTTTGCATTGGGTAAATACTGTTAAAAGGATTATTTGATTTATAGTAGTTATTACCAGTAAATAGTAGCACTCGTCAGGTAGGGGTTTTTTCTTTTCTTTTCTTTTCTTTTTTTCTGCCCAATGGTGATGATGAATGTTGGTTAATATTAATTAAAAAAATTAATCATTTAATCCTTATAATTTTGACTTAATTATAACTCAATTCTAAAATTTTGACTTGTTATAATTCAGTCCTTGAAGTTTTGACTCGATTGTAAATCAATTCCTGAACTTTACTTCTTGTAATTTAGTTCTTAAATTTTTAACTTCTTAATATTGATCCCTATATTTTTAAAAAATAAATTTAAAAAATATTTTACACTTTTAATATTTATAAAAATTAAAAGGGTTTAATAATTTAAAATATCAATAATAAATTTTATTCTTTACTGATATTTTAAATTATTAAATCCTTTTAATCTTTATAAATATTAAAAATTTAAAATATTTTTAATATTTATAATTTTATTTTTTAAAATATAAGGACCAATATTTAACAAGTTAAAACTTTAAGAACTAAATTGCAAGATAAAGAATTCAGGAACTAATTTATAATCGAGTTAAAATTTTAAAGACTGAATTATAATGAGTCAAAGTTGAGAAACTAAATTACAATTAGGTTAAAACTATAAAAAAAACTAAATAATTAATTTTTCCTTGTATTTCAAAAATGGTGAACATTAATATTTAAATGTTTATAACGGAGCCTTAAATCAACCGGGGTCCTTAGCTCAGTGGTAGAGCATTTGACTGCAGATCAAGAGGTCACCGGTTCGAACCCGGTAGGGCCCTACAAGCAATTTACTTTTGTGAAACAGTATGTGTTTTCCTCTATCATGGCAAGCCCCAAAAACATCGAACAAAAAAGCAACAGAGGGTGACTAATCTGAGGCTAAAAGAAAAATTATACGTAGGCAGTTTTTTTTTTTTTTTTTTTTTGTGAATGATTACACGTAGGAAGTTAACTGACAGACAAGATACAGAAAGTGACTCAAATATAGAAGTGCTCTTAAGTGTGAGATGGCCAGGGAAAAATTATCACCTTAGGCCATAAATGAATTATCTGTATTATTGAAAGAATGACTAGTGTAAAAATTAAGAAGAATAATTATTAATGCAGATAATCACTCTTCTGCATTATCTAAATGTAATCCAATCATTAATAATGACTTTTTTATCTTTTTTCTATGGATGATCCGGATTTAGTTTCTCATTTGTATATTTTCAATATGTTTTATCTTAATATATACGCACAAATTTTACAATTAAAACAATCTTCTTATTGGATTTTTGAAGGGAAAAACCATTTAAGAAATTAAAGATAAACTTTAAATTTTAATCGTCCATGATGTCATTTTAGCATCGAACACTACGATTATCAACGCAAGAAGCACCAAATCCCGACCAACACACCCTTTTGAGCGCCCAGAAACAGAATGAAGAAAATAAATGTTTTTATCCATAAGATTAATAAAAATAAAGCACAATCCAAAACTAATTTTCTTGTTTTTTTTTATTATGATGGCTCATAAAATTTATTGTCAGACTCAACTTTGGTCGGGGAAAAAATTGCAAAGGAAAACAAACCCCATCGAAAACCATGTCAACATTTTTATTAACAGACCAATATTTAAGGACAAATAATCTTAGTTTCAATGAAATTAATTAATCATAATGCCAACTTACTTCCCTCGTGAATTATAATAACGTTTTATTCATGCCACAAAGATCATTACAATAATTACCAGATCAGACCCAAAGAATATAACAGAACTTGAAATAGGCCCTGCTTCTGACCAAATACAAAAGCAACATGGGCAACACAGTATATATAGAATAGAATACAATCTAAAGTTGCGTAGCTACTCCTAAAAAAAAGCCTAAAACAACACTATCTTGCTGATAAACAGCCTCTATATCCTGTTAATTGTTGCTAACCTCACTTAGTAAGAAACAAAAACCTTAGCCCGCCAAGACAAAGCCTCTGAATTTTGCATTTCAGTTCTCACTTTTTGTGTGTAATGCTCCAAAGTATGTGTATGCTCCTGTATGCTATCAGTAGACATGGTGTCTTCAGCTAATCTAACTGCCGCCATTTGAGACAACTGAAAGTTCTCTCCCATGTGTTGCAGCCTCCTAGCTGTTTCTCCCTCACCAAACATCACAAGGCAAACCAGCAAAGATTTCAGCTCCTTTCTAGCTTCCACTGTCAAGGACATGCCTTTCATATGCTCCACCAGGGCCAGCTCTTCCCCAGGACTACAACAGCAAGTTCAACATTACTTCAATTTTCAGAAAGTGGCTAACTAAAAACATTAACAAACAGTACAAGGATCCTCTAGAATTCTCAATTATAAAGTCTAGAATTCTCAATTACACACACACACACAGTGTGAGAGAAAGTGAGAGAATAAAATAAAGAGTGGAAGTGTGTATGGGGCCAACATCCTTATTTTTTAGAGAGAATGACAGCAAAGTCCTAAAAGAGAGAATTAATGACAATTAAATCCTGGATAAAATTTTCTGAAAAGTGAATTGTAACTGTTAATTTAGACTGTCACAAACAGGAATTTCAATTACGAACTAAGAAATACATTTAGAGTTTAAATATCTTATTTGCAATTGAAATTCCTAAATTTATAATTATTTGAATTAAAATTTGCAAGTTATTTTTCAAACAAATTTGTTGATGGCCTAACTGTCATTAATTCTTTCTTTTGGGACTAAATGGGTCATTCTCCCAATTTTTTATTCCTCCTACTCAGTTGTTCCCCTCTTCTTTTTCTGAATTCTAATAGAAATTTCCATTTAAAAACTTCAGAGGATCCAGACTCAAATAAAACAAAACAAAACAAAACAAAAAGAGGAAGAGAGGGAAGGGATTGGGATGATGAAGATATCATATATCAGTGGTTTTGTTTGAACCTCATCATTTAATTTCAATTAAAGCAACCCCTAGGTTATAAAGATGGCCCACTAAAGGACAAAAAATCATCCAATTATTACTGAGATAAGATTGATTTTGTTTTTTCTGTAAATATTGGATATTTCACTTGTCACTGATATGAAATCTTGTTGACTGTCAATTTACTTTTAGTTGAAAACAAAATGTGAGATGTAATAAAAAATGGCAGTGTTTAAGTTGCTTTATCACATAAGAGGATCAGACTCTGAAGGCAAGGCGGGATATAAGTAACTTTCATGTCAAATTACCTCCCAGGCCGGATTTTTCCTCTTTTCCTCTGACGCCTGGCGTCTCTTGCCTTGCTAGTCGCCCTTGAGCTAACAGAAGCAGCAGAACTTCTCCTGGTCCTGTTTGTGAAACGAAGAAGAACCGATTAAAGCCAGGATACTGAAAGTATAACTCAACAAGCAGACAGGGCAGAATGTGGTATCAACCAAAATATTATTCTTTTCCGAAAGGAAAAGTAAAATCTACATTATTCAATTTTAATCATACTAGTTTTCTTTCACTAAAACATTAGTATATGTACCATGGAGGCATTGTTTACATTTTGGTTAGAAGCAGTTGAGATACAGAACTTTTGACAGGACATTGTGGGGGGAAAATCATATACACTAAATAATATCAGAAACAAATCCAACACATGAAAATACATTGTTCTATCTTCCACTCTCTTCAATGTCATGTTTAAGGAATCTTCAATCCCACAGAGGCAGGGGATGGAATTTGACTCAAATCATTAGTTATGTTAATAAAATTATTCATGCTAACACAGGACAAATGATTCAGAATGAAGGAAGATGATTCAAACTCATTTCAACGTTTTAATCATCATGAATCTGACAGTATCAACTGATCATAGTTGCAAAACGTGAAAATTGATCTCAATACTAGCCCTTTGCGAAGAATCAGAACACAGCATATATAATTGATTCATGCAAAATGAATGGAAGCAGCATGATGCATATAATTATCAAATAAGTTTTATATATAACATGTTATAAGGACGTATCCATCCATCATCACATAATCTAAGAAAGCTGGTTCAGAATATACACTCCATAACGTAAAGAAAATACTAGCAAAGGATATCATAGTAGATACATATTTATATATCTGCTAAATTGACGCACTACACCTACTAAAGCAAAGGGGAAAACCTCAGACAAAAGTAAATAAGCATACCCTGTGGTGTAGGCGCTCATGCCACTAAAATTACTACTAGCTTCTGATGCAGTGTCATCATCAATGTCACTGGGTGCCCGTTCCTCTGCCCGGACCTTTGCCACAAGAAGTAACCTTCTCTGTCTAACAGCCAGGTAACGGGCCAGGTACTTCCCCACTTTCTCCAAGCCTTCCTCATATTCACTGATTAGTGTGCCTGCACATTCCAAAGACGCATCCTTTACAACTTTAATTAAGTCCTGTCTTCTATGCATGAAAGCAACCCTCATGGCCTCCTCCCAGTCCCGTGCAGAAATCAACAGATTCACACCACCATCAACTTCTCCACAGTATTCCAAAGCAATTTTGGCAGCTTCCCCAGGTTTACCCAGTGCTTGAATCTCTTCACAAAGCTCATGTGCAAGATGCAGTACCTCCTCTTTTCCCATGTTAAGGAACCCAGCAACTGTAAGCACCCCCCTCCAGTTATTACAAGCACGATAAGACTTCAGAGCCTTCTCCAGATGAAAAGAGGACAAGTAAATTGTGGCAGCATCTTCAAAGCATTTTTCATCACTAAGATAGTCCCCCCATGCCTCAAGGATTGGCATCCTCTTCACAGGATCAGCAATAAGTTGAAGTCCCAATGGAAAGAGTTGAGGGTTTTTCTTCATGAGTGTCATGCATTCACCAAAATGAGCATCTCCTGCAGAAGTAATGTGTCTGAGTGCCTTTTCAAATCTTTTTAGCCTAAGGTCAATATTGTATTGCATTAATAGAGGGGGCATACACTCCAATTCTTGTAATAAAGGAAGAAATTCTTTTGGATCTCTTTGTGCATTCAATGCCACAATAGCTGCAAGATTTAAGTCATAAAGACCTAAAGCAGCTTCATAGACAGCATCAGAATCAGCTAACCACAAAAGATGCTTCAGAGCTTCTTCAGCAGAAGGGTAAGACAACCTTCTCTGCTCATCAGCACGTGACAATTCCATTTCACGGATAACTTTAATTCTCTTCAGAGCATCCTCAAGTAGCGGGGGATCACTCCGAGCCAGAGTAGTCAAAATGCAAAGCTCTCTACCCGGACTTTCTGTTATATGATCTTCTAGGGCTTTTCTTACGGCCATCAGAACAGAAGAAACCTTGTTAACAAGGTAATGCTGGAGGTCTCCTACTTGCATAACATTAGCACCCTCTGGACAAGGAATAGTTACAAAGTTTTTGTAGAGTTTCTCAATAGCATTTTCATTCTTTACAGCACAGACAAACTCCGTTATGTAACTTAGATTGCCAACCTGACTGACAAATTCAGAAGCTGATTGTGAAAATGCTTGCCAACCACAGTAATCAACAATCACATTGAAATCTATCCTGTGACGCCTTACCATATGTAATGCATCTTTGAAGCGCTTTTGGACCAAGGCATTAATGATAGAAACCACAACTAATTTTCGGGGGTAAATACATTCAAGGTTTCCCCTAGTAGTTTGCAGAATAATAGCAGCTTCATCTCCATGAAGAACTCCAACAATTTTAGCACCTCTTTCCCATACATTTATACAGTTTCGAGCTTCTCCTTCTCTTTTTCTGGTGCCAATGGGGACAAAGTTTCCATACTTCGTGTCTAACTCCCCACTCAATATGTCAACAATGTCAACAATAAAAAGTAAATCCTGCTTAGTTGTGAAAATTAAATGCGTGATCACTTCATCTGCCAAATTTGAGTAAAATGAGAAACTGCTGCAGTTGTTGCAGACAATCCCCCCATTGGCATGCAGCCTACCAATCTCATCCAATCCAAAAAACAATGGCTTTGATGCCACACCATCACTGGGCAGAACTACATTCATCCAAGGGCATGATGAAGAAAAGTTTTGAAATTCTTGCTCTAAAGAGCCCCTTCTGGCACCAAATTTTGTTACATACTCAGAGATTTTCCCCCCAGAAAATTGAATATATGCAGAATGTTTACTAGCAGGATTAGGGGCAATGCTAATAACCACCTCTTCCAGGGAATTTTGCTTTGAAACTTTCGCATGCCAACCTGAGCATGTCAATATTCCTGGAACTAGATCCTCAGAACATTCAAGCTCAATTTCCTGCAAATAGAAGCCTTGAAATCCTCCCTCATTCAGGGAAGGTTTAGAAAAGTCCATACTATGACTGAAACCATAATGTGAAACAGCTAGTAGTGTATGGGAATTCAACCATACAAGATGCAAAATAGATCCAAGTGTCATCTCAGAGTGAGAGGCTTCAACATTGAATTCTTTCCCTTCTAGTTCTTCCCAGGTGTCAACAGCAGGAAGCTCCACAATACATAAGCAACCATTTGACAGAGAAGCAGCTAATTGGTACTTAGAGTTTCTGCAATATACAGCCATGTCCTGAACATTAGAAGGAAATTTCAGGCCGAATAAATACATAGGAGGTGGCATTAACGATAAAGAAAGTGGGGTCACATGTATACTGGAGCCATCAATAACTAGTGCAGTTGAGTTCTCTGTAATAGCTGTGGCCCAGACAAAGTTGCAAACTGTGATCTGACCACCAATAGTCCAACAAATTAACTGCAAAGGCTTTGTTGGATTCCACATGAACCTGACATAATCTTTCTTTGTGTATCTAATTTCATGCTTCAAGTACCAGTGGTTGTTGCTAAAATACCATATCTTTATAGCATCATAATTTTCACATTCAACAATACCAGCAAGCAAATCTGAACTGCAATTCCACATCAGAACCTTTACTTTTGCATTATTTCCTTCATTGATGCTAAACTTGCTCCGTTCCAATCCATTTTTCTCAAAGAAAACAATTGAGGGACATTCGTTTTCTACTTTCCTATCATAAACTGCAGCAATTTTTGCACCACTGGGAATCCATTCCAAAACAGCTCCAGCAAAAGCTTTTGGTTCTGAACAAGCCTGCAATAACCCTGAATCTCGTTCCCAAACTTTAAGCTCCTTAAGTGATGGTGTTGAATTGCATACATCATTAATGGTTGCAAAGTATTTTCCATCCCCTCGCCAACAAACATTATACTCAAACCTATCTGGCAGAAAAATTTCATTCACCTGAAAACAAGAATTCATCACTATATATGACAAGCTACAAGAAAAGATAGTATTTCTATACAACCATCTGTGTAAATAATATACAAGACATTACTATGCGTGATGGAGAAGGGGAAGCACAACAAGGGAACAAACATAAAAGGGTAAAAAAGAAACATCTTATAATAGATAACATGCCTTTATATGGGCTCAAACAAACAAAATTCCATAAGGACAAGCATCCTAAACATAAATCCAAAGCAATCTAAACTCAAGGCTCAAAAAGTTATAGTTCAAGACAGGAAATAAAACACTAACCTTACAATAGCATAGAATATTCCAACATCCAAACAACTGGATAGAAAATTCAAACATCTAATAATGGAACAATAGTGGTATATGCTTCCAAATCAAACATAAAACTGTGAAACATGAATTGTATCAATGGTCTATCCCTTCATATCATACAGGAAACGCTTGAAATCAGCATATAACAAAGGAAAGAAATAATTGGTAGCACCTTAGACCATGAAAATTGTTCGTCATTCATGAATAGATGCAATCAATTAAGATCATCATAAGAGTCCTTACAATTACTTACATCAAGACCTTCAGGAAGATCCGTAAGTGCTGTTTCATATAACAATTCCCAATCATGAGTCATTACTAATATCTGTCCAAAACCAGTAATTATGCCCAGCAATTCTCCATCAGGACTAGGGGAGATACACTTGACCCCACCATCCACCTTGCCAACAACTTCAGTTGTGTTAGTATCCACACTGTGGAGCAATAAAAGGCCATTTAAAGTCCCCACAATGAGAGCTTCTTTCTCCATAAGATATTCAAATGAAGTAATAAAATCCCCTGGATCCAGATCAATGGTGTCAACATCTGCAGATGCCAAGGCCTTGCTCCAAGCTCCTTTTTGCTACCACAAAACCAATTAAAAAATCAAAAATGTGAATTGAAAACAGAGAGCAAATATTAGATAAGTTTATTACTCATTTCATACCTTGGATCCTATTCAGATCAAGCTTTTCATAAAGAAAATTCAACCACTGATTATATAAATATGTTATCATTACTAAACCATCTTAAAATTGAACTAGGAAGCACAGATACTTTAACGATTTAAAGTAGCAGTTCTATTTGGCTTCCAACTTTATATAAAGGGGTTTTAAGGCTGTAAGCCTGCAACATTATTTATAGACAATTTCATTGCAAAGCCTTAAACTATTAGTCAAAATACACAGGAATAATTTCATTAATATGTCAAGTAAAATGTCCAGCACTAAAAAGTTCAACAAATGATGTTACCCGAGTGGACCAGTTACAAAAAGGTTTGCACATAAGGGCTAAATTTTACTAAGATATTTTCTTTTCATAATCATACCAATATCCTAGAGCTTATGGATTCATATAAGTTACAGTATTAACTTTGCCTAGATGAGAGGGAAAATAAAATTTAAATCCAACCATCAACGACATCATTGATATATGGAACTTAGAACTAAGGGCAAATAAAACCTCACAACTTGAGTTGGGAAAATTCTCGATCATAACGATTGGTAAAGACGTGTGATTTGAAACACTAATAACCAAAAATCATGTTCCTCAAAGTTATTCAATACCTATTCAGGCTTGCTAAGTCCATGAAAAAGAAAATGACGAATCATGCCACAGATATTGAACTCTATAATTAGTCAACGGCTTGCTAATAAAAACCAACGACCTTCTAATGCAAGAGGAAAAAATCAAAACAAGCCAACAATCACTGATTCACTCAAAGTCTTAGCAAATCCCATATTCCCAAACAAATTTAATTCCAAAATTAATTCTGACAATATATCCTAAACAAGATATTCATTCGAACACATTTTGCATTGTTGCCTTTTTTCAATTGCTCCCATTTCAGATTTATCAACATCCAATGCCAACTCTTCAGCGATTATGTCTTCACAAAAACTTCCCAACTTCCTACGTATAAATGCAGGTCTTTGATACACAAAATAAGCTAATATTCAACTCCTCAATAACTCCTTTCCTGATCTCCCTGAATCAATAACACTAAGCAGCACCCCATCAGTTTAACTGAACCATTCATTTCATTACCCTTCCTACATCCTTCAACACCCCACGGGGCTTTGCAACCTAACAAGCCATTATAACAGAAAGTTTCAAACCAGTTATAACAGAGAAAAGAACATACATGGAACGAAGATAGATGAACGGTATAAACGAAGTTGCCGGCAGACACAAAGAAAAGGCGGTTCCGCTCGATGTCAAAAGCCGAGAATTGAAGAGCCTCAGCATGGGACTTCAATTGAAGAACCAAAGGGACCTCAGAAAATAGCTTCAAATTATTCATTGGGAATGCTCAGAACTATGATAAAGCTTTCTTCTCCGTTTTCTGATAGAAGCTGAAGTGCCCCGCCCTGTGTGAGTGTGCGCGGGTGTTCTAAGGCTTCAGGGGTGTTCAAAGTGGGAAGTATAGTAGGGTTTAAACTTTAAACGTTGAAGTATCAGTCACGGGGCTCGGCCAAAACACAGATAGAAATAATTTGGGGAAATTAGACTTTTGCCTCTAAAATTTCAGTGAATACCTGCATTTCGATTTTATTTTTCAAGAATTACTCCTTAGTCCCTACTCTTCTTGAATGTTGAAACCAAAACCTAACATCTCATTAAACCAATAAAGGCACTTGTTTAAACGTAATCCCCAGTACCTCCCCTCCTTGATAAAAGATATTTTTAATTAAGGATTAAAGAAATAGTTAAGAGTAGCTTATATTATTAAACTAATAAAAAATTATTATTACTTTTAAAAATTATGCTCCATGTGATGATATTGGATAGCTCATTTTGTTGTTGTTTCTTTATTCTTAGCTATGAGTGAGATTTTGTATTTGCCCTTCAAGCTTTCTTTTCAAGCTAATGAATTCTCTTTCAGGCAAGGGGATAAAAAAAAAAAAAACACACACACACACACACACAAAACTAGTAATATTCCATTTTTAGTGCTTGTTTGGAAACATATTAATTTAGCTGACAATTATTATTTGGCCAAATCATATTAGCTCATTAGCATTTAATGGTAATTTGAGGCCTTTTATTTGGAATCAGTCCTTATGTACTTTAACTCCATGTTCTTGTAAATTAAGTTTTGTTAAGCAATGTTAAAAAGAGAATTTTGTCATGGCATCTGTACATTGTAAATTGTATTTTGTCCCTAAAGGGAATAAGATATCTGTAAATCCTCCTTCACCCCAACATTTGAAAAACAAGCTTGTGACATGTCTTTTTTCTTATGAAATTTAGTATGTGTTTTTCATGAGTTCTTTCATCAGATAAAAGACAACCTAAAAACTAAACCAAACACAATTTGAAATAAAAATGACCTTTGGTTGCTTCTTTGGCAATATAAAGCTAGCCATTTAAAAATGGCTAAATTACATACTACTCTACTAAGTTTTGGACCATGTATAAATAATCACTTTAATCTTTAAAATGTAATAATAAACTTCTTTAAGCTTTAAGATTTATACAAATAATTCCTAGCTTTTAATTATATACCCCTTAAATTTTATTTTAAACCTCCAAACTTTGATTGATATAGATAAACCTTCTAAACTTTATATTATATGTAGATAATTAATATATAAAATTAATCACATATAGTTATCTACATAAATATATAATTTGAAGGGGTTTTATTATAAAGTTTTAAAAGTTAAAGAGGTTATGTGTATATAATTTAAAGTTTAGAGAAATAATATATAATTTAACTTTTAGGAATTGGGGGATGGATAGAGTAAAAAAATTAATTATGAATAATAAGGAAGAAATCATGATCCAAGAAATGCTTGGGAATCACGATCTCAACTTTGAAGGAATCGCAATTTGACATTTTCAGCCATGCATCTGAGATTGTGATCACTGATCAAAAATGGTTTTAAATATTTTTCTTTTTTGAAAAAAAAAAACCCCTCAATTCATAGTTTTCATTATGGCTTCAGAGAAACGAGGAATAAGCTTGGGGTTTGGTTTAATTCTTCGTGGATTAATCCGATGTGAGATCTAAAACTTTCCTAATTCCCGTCGTTGATGATTAACTTAAGTGATAAGGGTGGGGGTGGGGTCGGGTATAAGTATAGGTTAGAGATTCAGAATTTCTTAATATATATGTGTGTTGAGGGACTTAAATCCTTTAAGATTAATAAAATTTTCCTTTTATTAAAAGAAAAGGGAGAGAATTTTATATTTTATAAAAAAATGAAAAGAATACTGAAAAAAAATCACAGAAATTCATGAATGTTAACTTTAAAAGATTTAGGGGGGGTGATATGGGGTCCCAATTGCTTATTAGAGAATGGATGCAGATCTGTTTATGATGAATTGGATTATTAGTTTGGCCCCAAAAAAAAAAAAGAATTGGACTATTAGGGGTGGGGATATCAAATCTTGCTTAAATATAGAAATTGATTGTGAAGTAAATTTAGAAATTGAAATTTACAAATAAACAATGAATATTTTTATATATAGATGTTTTAAACAGTTGTGAATTCTATAATAATTGAAGTTGCAAAACTGATATAATTTGTTAAATGAACATTATAAAATGTGAATATGAGCACAAATTATTTTTTAATCAAATATTATTTATCTTGTTCATATTTGTATTTTAAATTTTAACATATATATATATATATATATATCGTATAGTTTATCTTAATCAATCCATTGATGCGATAGTCTTCATAATTAGTAACCCAGCTCGTCTATTGGACTTAATTTGTGACCCAAAAGTTCACACTATAACATTAAATTATTTTGACGACAACAAATCAATTGACACAGCAGGAACTAAAAGTCCTAATGGACGATTCCTCTGACCCAATTTCTTTTCTTAACAGGGGGATGTAAGAAATGTATATGGGATCTGATCATGGAGATTAAAAAATAATAATAATAACAATAACAATCAAAATCATAATCATTGATCAAAATTTATATCGATTAAAGATTAATTATTATTAAAATTTAAATAAATATTTATTAATTTAAGTTTTGATAACAACTCACTTTAAATTAATAATAATTTATTTAGTTTTGTTTTTCATTTTAATTTTGACAATAATTGATTCTTATTTAATATTAACTTCGGTCAATGGTTCTTAATTGCTACTTTTCCTTCATTTTACTTTTGGTGCAAACGTAAATATCATTTTACTTTTTAAAAGTTATAAAATTTATTTTTGATCAAAAATAACAATTATTCATATAAAATAAAGCAAAAAAGGTCGAGGCATTATGTAATTCAATTGCCTGTGTCTAATGCATTATATTGAACACTTCGTTTTTAATCACCGGAAGCTTTAAACAAATGCAACTAGTTCGATAGCCAAAAACTAAGCATATATACCAAAGGAAATTTTAAAATGGGTTGTATAAAAAATAAAATGAAAAAATAATAATAAAATCTTTTTGAATTATATAAATAATATTTTAATCTCTCGAAATGTCATAATTTTTTTAAAGTCTCTAAGGACTATTCTATTATTAGAGAATTAATGCAAATGATCAAATTGACCTTAATTTAAATATCAATTATCATTTATAAGTTTTGTTCTAAGATTTACAACATTTCTTCTTAAAATAACAAAAATTCAACAAAAATTTACAAGTTTAAATTAAAATTAATTTGATCATTTATATTAATTCCTTAATAATAAAAAAGTCTTTAAAAATTTTAAAAAAGTTATAGTATTTCAAGAGATTAAAATATCATTTATATAATTCAAAAAGATTTTATTGTGATTCTTTCAAATAAAATTTTTCTATCATGTTAGATTGATTGTGATTTATAATATCCTCACTCAAGGATATTCTTATTGTTTGTTGTTTGTTGTTTGATTGAAACAAGAAAGGCAAGCTTTCCTATTCTTCGCTCTAGCTTCATTTTTGAAATTGTAAAAACTAGGTATTATTTATTGTGATTTATATCGCATGGACATGCTTGTATGCTCATTCATGGTCTGGACTTATCTCTAACAAACTGAATTTACCAACCCCATGCTTTGCGGGGAATCTAAAAAAGAGATACACTGTACATGACTTATAATATTGTACGACTTGCTAAAAATTTGATATTATAGGAATACAACAGAACCCTAGAACTTGTGCTTAAATTGAACTGTAATAGTCATTGAGGCCAGAGGAGAAATATAGCAATAATTTATGGATGATGTGCCAGAGATGATTGTGACTAATGAGATAACTATACACCAAACCAGATTTATAGGGTGCTGCTCTACATGATATGGCAAAGTTAATAAATGCATTTAAACGCACAAATACTCAATTTTCAAACTAAGCTTCTCATCTAAAGCAAACCAAATTACCATCCCATCAAAGTTCTTCTCACTTTGTCGACAATCTGACTTCTGGCTTGACTACTACCCAGAGGCAGCTCGCAACTTTCATCCAACAAAAACCTGTACACTTCCCACTGGCGTTTCTGTGTTGAATGTCTCACAACTTCAGCCTACGGTCAAGTAGAAAAAAAGAGATTTTATTTTAAGATTGTTACAAGACTTCGTTAAACTGCCGGAAAGTTTCACAATAACCTGAACTTCAAATCTCACCGAGAAGATGATTATTCCCAATGCTTTCAATGCCAATGTAACATCGTAGAATACTCGGGGCCTTCCCTTTCCTGATAACTCTACGGGATTAGCAACAAGTAGTTCTGTATCTGGACCTCGGTTCACAATACTCACCCGCAATGGGTGAAGCATCTCTTCTTTTAAGCAAGAACACAGAGCAGCTTGACTTTCAGCATCTATGATCTTTTTCCCATCTTTTTGCTGGACAAATAAGTCGATATTTTTAAGACCATTTGCACTTGCAGAGAATCGACCATAAGCAACCTGGTTTTTTTTAGGCAAAAACAAATGGCATCAGAAATCAAATGCAAAGAAAAAACAATATGCATAGACGGCCAAATAAGTCATTATGCCTGACCTATTGCAACAAATGGATAGAAAATGCAAGTTGGAATTATTAAATAGAAGAAAATCGATGACAAACAACTAAAGGTAAGTTTACAAAATTCAATGCTAATTTATCTATCAGGTTTTGGTGTGCTAACTAACCATGACTCACAAACAAGTAAATACCTTAATATCAGAGTCCTTAGATATTCTCATAATATCATAACACAAGCACTTCTGATCAGCACACTTTATCTGGAGCAATGTATGAGCTGGGCTCAATAAATTATCCACTACAACAGTAGGTTTCTTCAGTGTGCTCATATCTGGGCTCAGAGGATGCAAAGACCCCTTGTCTGACAGCTCGAGACTAAATAGCTCTTCAGCAATTACTGATGGAAGAGAAGAAAACCCCTGCAAACCTTCATATTCAGGCCCTGCCAACTGAAGTTCACAGGAGATACAGCATTCTCCTAAAGCAGCCATCAGAGAATCACACACATCATCTCGCCTCTTTTTTGTATGCAATAGCTCCCTGTTTTAACAAGAACTTATAAGATGTCGTACAATTAATCAGCATAAGCTACAGATATCCTGTTGACTGCTGAGAAAAATGCAGAATCAAATTGATATTTAACATTTATATGTTACAGCGGATGACTAAGTGCATCCAAATCGCCTCAATTGCCAAAAACAGTCATTACAATAATGAGGTCAATCATGAAAGAAAAGAGTAGAAGCAATTGACAGCTGAGAAAATAATGACAATGTTGCATATAGTATCCTATAATTTCAACGGCCTTAATTAAGAAATATCCTACTTCAATCAACAGAATTAGCCCTTTTATAACCAGAAAATGCAATTCAGGGACGCTGAACAAATCATAATATGTTGCAAGATGTAAGTGTTAAAATCATTAATAACTTCTTGAATGTCTATGCCATATATTGTCATTTGTCGAAGTACTTGATTCAAGCAGCAGCAACAAGACTTACCCCACTAGATGGGGTCAATTATATGGATTACATAATGCTATTGTACTCTATCAACAACCAAAACTTTGGGGTACAAAAATTAAATTGTTTATGAGATGTACAAAAATGGAATAATTACATCTTCAAATGTTTATGAAGTGCTGGCACAGATATCATATTTTGTCAAATGCTTCATATTGATATAATTTTAACTTGGCACAACGTTGTTATACTTCCTGTCATTCTTTGTTTTGCAAATGTTTTCAATTAAATTACTAGTTCAAGCTAATCAGTGTCAAATTGTCAAGGAATGGCAAGCTTACAGAATAATTTAAAAAAGAAGAGAAAAGAAAATCGGTTGGTCTTTTTGATATCTTTTAGTTAATCCTCGTAAGCATCTAGTAAGCTGAGCCAGATTTCAGTAATTTTGAAGTTTCACTTGATTCTTTTGAAGCTTGAACATCTAAATCAATATAATCCGGGTTTCTACGCCAGATTGTACTCTATATTTTTGCTATATACTTAAAAGTCAAGCTGCTGCATCACTAGTATGACCAAGAATTGTTCTCCGATAACATTGTTTACTTGGTACCTATCATGTAATCCTATATCATGACACATAACACAGTTCACCTGGTTCAATATTCTACTACTCTTATACAATCCAAAATGTTTGCTTATCCAAAAGACGACAGAATCCAATATCAATACATCTAGTTACACAATCGAAAGATGCTTACTAATCTAGAAGATGACAGAGCAACCAATATTAACATTAATTAATATATCCATAAAAGTAGTAAGAAACACATTATTCACAAGTTGTGAATGGTGTAATTCACTTCAAGCTTTATGCAAATTTCTGGGACCCACTCTAGTTAAAATAGAATATTAAAAAAATGCCCATGCCAATTTCACTGTTTTATTTGATATAAAACCATTGAATTAATGTTCAAGTGCCTTGGTATTCAGATAACTGTATTGAGGAAATTACACCTCAAGAGTGAAAAAGATACGGGTTGACAGCATCCAGAAACTCGATTGAATTATGTAAACTATTTACAAAAAGGAATTAAAGCATGCATTCAAATTCAAGTACTCACTAAACAGAAGACAAGACCAATATGCGTGTTTTTTTGCAAGATAGTGGGCTTACAATACAGAGGGGACTGTGTTATGCAGATGGATTTTTTTTTTCATTGGGGGAGGGTGGGGAGGGGGGCTGGTGCAAGTCTGATAAACAAGAATCTTATACTCACATGCCATCGGTAACAAAGAACAGGTCTAGGGCCCTTCCATCTGGCGTTGGCATCACTTTCACTCTTTGAATACTAAGTTCAAGGATGCAGAGGATTTCAGTAACATCTAAACGAAGAAAAATAGTGTCAGCCAATGGCATTTATATTTGGCAAAAGAAATGAATCAAATAACATTCTCTTCGCAAATTACCATGTAATACTCCTTTCTGGTCAACAACCCAAACTTTCAATAGATATACTGGAGCTGGTGAGGGACTACCAGAGTTCTTATTAAAGTCGAAAGAAAAAATACATGAAGGGCAAGACGAAAGGAGCCGGTTCTTCAAGCTGTCCCAATTAATATTTTGTGAACGAGGGTGGGGAACAACCCAAAATATGATGTAGCACCATCTTCCATCCGTTGAGATATCTGCAACACCATTAGAGTCAAATCTTTATATCCACTACTACAAATAAATTGACAAAGAAATCCAATAAAACAGCAGAAACGACTTCAACCAGGATGAGAGGAAAATAAATGAAGCAGACCAACAAAAGAAGCAGGAATTTCTAAACGAATGCTTTACAAACAAATTCTTGCAGTAATTATCTTCTCTGTTCAGTGAGAAAAACGAATAATCATAAATTGACAGTTTTTAACGTAGCCTATTGTTCCATGTAATTCTAAGAATTAAATCGGTAGATGCAACAGACACATGCTTCGGGCTTCAGCTTCTACTTGCAAGTTCGTGAAATGGATTGTCAACCGGCATCAAAATTTCTATGCAGTAGTAAAAATGACCGGCGTAAAAATACGAGGTAGCGGGAGTGAAAAAAGTAGATACTGTTGATAATTACACTCCCTCCTGCATGAGAAACTTACTGTAGATTGATCTAATTTACAACAGTTCTTGGTAAGATAGGAATAATAGACGAAAAATATCCAAACGATCCAAAGTTGACAAGGCAACAATAATATTCATGATCATTAGCAAGCACTAGTAGCGCCGCAGCCGCCCCTATTTCCTGCAAATCTCGAAATATTGAATACCTGCTCTAGTAATGCGAAGTCCAAACTCGAGGATGATTCTGCAGAGATCGCAACCAAGTCCAGCCTTGTCCGGGCAATTCACAGTAACGACACAGGGCTCATCGAAGTTCTTCCCAGGCTCGATCACAACGACGTCGTCCAACGATACTCCCATGACTGAAGAAGCTCCACACGATGTGATGCTCAGAGATGCCGGAATCACATAGCGGGAGCTCACGGCGGCCCTCCGGAGAGGGTTATTGTGTGGAAGAGAAAGGATTAGTTTTGACAAGTCTGAAATCTGAAGCGAAGCCTGTGATTGTGGCGGCTGGCTCCATTGATGATATATATTGTACTGGTGACTCCTGGGTGGCGGTTGTGTTAGGTGGGCCCAAGAGTTCTCATGTCCACGTCAGACTCCTCTGGCGGCCACACATGCAATCATTTTGTTTAAGACCCACGAAATCATGTGTGTTTTTTTATTTTTCAAGTAAATAATCATGAGTTTTCATTATGGCAGCGAATGTGACTCGTGCTCGTCAAAATACCATTTACTTTAGCTCCTTTTTCTTTTTCATTGATAGGTTTTCAAAAATAAAGAACTGCGGCGTAAAAAATAATTGTGGGCTCTGCTATGTGCAAAGACAAGGAAGAAGGGATTTTTTTTTTTAACTGAAAGGAAGAAGGGTTTTACTGGGGAAAATTTCAAGGTAGGATCAGGAATATGACATAATTACAAGTGAATTTTAAAAAATTTTAAAATTTTAATTTAATTTAGGAGGATAAAAATAAAAATTATTTTAATTATGAACAGACTAAATTACTCTTTATTTATTATGTAAAATCATTAATTGTTTATTTTTTATTTCATTTGTTAATTTATCAATATCACTTATAAATTATATATATTTACTAGACAAGCAATAAAATTAGTTGTTAATTTACTAAATTTATTTGTTAATTTACTAACATCAATTGTAAATTGCTAGCATGTCTTTGTAATTTATAACTGATGTTAGTAAATTAACAAATAAAATTAATGATTTAACAACTGATGCTGCTGCTAATAATTAAACAAATAATTTTAAGTTTTATATAATTATTAAAATATTAATTCATATAATTTGTAACTCATATTAGTAAATTAATAAGTATAGTAATAAAATTTACAATCATTAATTTTGTATAACAAGTACAGTTGAAGTTATTTTGAAAAAATTACATACAGATTCAACAAAACGTTATGTTAGTTATTAATAGAATTTGCAGTAATTAACTTTTTTATGTGAAATTTTAACATAATTCTCCCAATTATTTTCACTTTTATACCCCAGCATTGAATTGAAATTTCAAAGTTTTTTAAGACCAACTGATAATTATATCACATCCCTTATCATTACTCAAAATTCTCTCATTTTACCATTATCTATCATAATTTGAGCTCAAATAAAATTTCTTTCCAAACGTCAACAAGTGTTATTGTGTCAATTCTAGTAGAAGAGGTTATTATCACTTAAGTACAATGATTTAAGTTTAAGCCTAAATACAAAAAATGTCTTTAGAAGAGTTACACTCAATTACACCTTACAATGTTCTCAACTCAGTTGGACAATAATATAAAAAAAAAAAAAATCTTTCCAAAACACCCTTTTCGAATCAAGGCAACCTTGTCAATCTCATCCCCCATTGTACAAGCATTAGATTCATAGAATGTATCCAATGGAAGATTATGAAATTGAATTGAATAAGGGACACAATTAAAATTTACCTTAATAAGGGACCCAATAATTAAGAATAGTGGTCCTATAATGATGATAATTATATAGATAATGGCTCTAGCATGAGATATCATGGTCTTAGCCTCTAAAAATGAATATAAGTTGAGTCTACATTTTGTTTATGTAAACCACTAAAATGGAAAAAAATTCTAAAGACAAATTAAGTACTCAATGCTCCATTTGATATCAAATATAAGCCACCATATTTACTTAACAACTATTAAAAAATTTGTTAAAGATAATTTAGTTAAGTGATCAAATTTGTATTAAATTATAATTGTTTTCCTAGTTTCCCATGTGACATTCCTCCATAGTAAATTGAAGTATACCCAATTTATTCTCTAATTTCTTTCTCAAAGTTTTTATTTATCCCAAATTAATTAATGATATTTATGAAAAAACCATTTAATGATCCAACAATTTACAAAAGTAACTTACTATTTCAAACCAAAAAAAGTATTCAAAAGAAAATTATATTTAAAACTAGAGAGAGTATCATCATTTAATAATGAAAAACATAAATGCAGGTCCTTACAATTTTACTCAATTTTAAATTAGGCTCTTATAGTCTATTTGGCTTTAATTGAGACCTTATAGTTTATTTAATTAAGTTTTTTAATCCCTAAAAGTTAAAATCCTTTCATTTCACTTTTAAAAAAACAAAATTAAGAAATTTTATATTTTTATTAAATAATTATATGACTTTAGAATTAATTACATAATTTTTATAACTCAAAATTTATATACTTAGGTTGTCTTATAGATATTTTTTATACATGTAGAATTTTCATAAAAAATTATAATAAAAATATAAACAGTGAATTAAATCAAATTTTCTATTATTGATTTTAGCTAAAAGTATTAAACTAAATTTTCTACAAACTCTAAGGGTATTTTTGTTTCATAAACTATAATAATTCATTATTAATTTTAACCTTTAGGGGTCAATATATATAAAAGATGAAATTATAAGGGATTGGTTAAAACAAAATAAATTGCAGAAATCTAATTAAAATTGAATGAAACTGTAAGAACTTGCAAGTATATTTTTTCTTTAATAATTAATAAAATTATGGACAAAATGAAGTTACTCGTGAGTTAAGATGTTTCTATTTGTTGTATTTTTCTATTCATATTTATTACAATATGAGACCTATTTGCTTCAAATAATTGAGATGATAACATTGTATATTAACTACGGAGTATATCTCATTCAAAGAACTACAAATTATTAAATGCAAACCCAACTTGCCGGGGAAAAAAAAAAAAAAACTTGGGACTCCTCAGACACAAACATCTGAAATTGACCATTAACGTTGTCTCGTTAAATTAAAGACACTTAAAAGCGAAAAGTAAATTAATTAATTGATGAAAAAAGGACAAGTTACGTAATCATGAAAACTTCACCAGTGTCGAATTTGAGCCTTAATTCAGTTAACTGTGTATAATGGCCTTATATTGACAAAAGGGTGGGGGGCAAATCATTAGTCTTCATCTTCATAAGTATTCATAAGTAAACGGAATTCAAGATTAACACGAAAACTTCACTTCTTTCCTATCAATTCCATTATTTATAATCAAATTATTTAGAAGCATTATTATTTATGAGTGATACTCATAATATTATTAAAGTAAGTAAATTTTAATATATTAATATTAACAATGAAAGTTTGTTATACAATAAAAGATTCACATGTCTTAATTAAATTTAAAACAATTACATTAAGTATTTACGCTCTTCAGTTTAAAATATAAGCAATTTTTTTAAAAAAAATTGCATACCAATAAGGTCATCATACTCATAAAAATATATTTTTTTTCTTTTTACCCCTAATATCAATTACCAATATATTTCATAATGAGTGAGAAATAACTTTACACAATAATCTAAGTTAATAAATATAAAGAGTAAAATGAGAAAAATTTTACATCTACTAAATTGCTTATATCTTGAATTAAGATTAGCTGAGAAAAAATATACATATTTTGAACCAAAAAAAGTATGTTTTTTTTATAAACTTTTCCCATTACTAAATAATTTTTCGTGTTATTTAGTTCTTTAGTAGGTCTAGCAAATGCCTACAACCTACTTAGCCTAATCTAATATGTTTATTTAAAAATTAGGCTTATTCTTATAATCAAGCCTATGATTGTTCACAGAATGGGATAAGACCAAAAAAGCTCTATCCCATGACTGAAATGGAGAAGGTTGAGTGCAATAGTTGCCATGAGCTATTGTATGTTAAAGGACTAGCCACTGTTTATAGCAATCCTAGTACTTACACCCTGCTGCCTCTAATAACTGCATTTCGTGATAAAGTTGTGTCATAAATTGAGTGAATCTTATATGTGAACCTGTAATTATAAATATGTGAATCCTCAATTGTGCAAATGCAAACCCTTATTTGTTAACATGAGTTGACACCTTGTCTTTTGCACAGGAAATCAAAAACCTATATGTGAGAGTTGTGAGTTATATGGAAGAGGTGTATAAGAATTTAACTATTTGTTAATAAGTGAATATTTAGTTGTGAATATGTGAACTTTTACTTGTAAAAAAAGGTTGGCACATTGCATTTTGTGCAAGAAATCAAGGATCTACACGTGAAATATATCTCATATGTATCCTACTACTTCATATAAAAGCCCTACTAAATACCCATATTAAATTAGAAGGCCAAATCTATGTCGCCATTTACTAAGCAGCCAACATGTAAGATAACCACCCCATTTAAATCTCTCATTTCAGCTGAACAAGTGTATTTACCTTGTGCAAACTAGGGAGTTTCGATTAGCTCACCAAGCTCTTTCCTCCAACTCTAGCTCTTTCCTATTTCAACAACAAAGCTACACACATTAATCACAAACCAGAACAATATTCTTTTTTCACTTGTGCTGCCATTTCTTTGTTAGCATTTACTTCCACCACGCATCCCACATTGCGTAGCTCCATCAGTTGTTCAACATCTGCTGCTCTAACTTGTAATATTTTCCCTCTTATTGTAATTTTCTTTGTCGGAGGATCTTAGGCATGCATTAACTCACCGCATAACCTCTAGGAATTTTAATGCCTCCCACATCTAGCAATTTTCCAAACCTAACTCCCTCCACTTTCTCCTTTAAAGGTTGACTGTTGTTGATGAAACTTGAAATTTTCTTGAATTTAAAAGGAGAACATCAAGGTCTCTCAAAAAAAAAAGAATGAAAACATCGGGTATGAAAAAGACATAATATATATTTTCTTTTCAACATCATCCATCCTCTTTGCTCCAAGGCTCTAATTTTTTAAGGCTCCATCTACTATAAATTCATCTTGTTCCCAATTTCAGTTGACACATCAATTGAGTGCGGAGATTTCTTACAATGTCCTTTATTCTTTTTAAAGAATTCTTTCCTAACTCATACCATTCCCTAAAATGATAAATCTTTTTTAGTTGTTTCTCCTTAAAAATTTTATAAACCTGCAAAAATTAGCAATGCAATCAATGTAGATAACCATTAGATCAAATAAAGCAATTGCTTAGATTTGCCAACTACAAGCTTAAACA